AGGTCTGAATCCTTTTGTATACATTGATATATTTGATACAACACCATACAAATGGAAAGAAAAAATACTTTGTTTAAACTCTGGTTGCAGACACTGTAGAACCTAACCTGCTATTTTATATAGGGCGCTTCTTATATGTTAAACTTATTCATAAGAATAGTCTTTACAAGTTATTCTATTATGTTAAATGTGCAATTTAGCTGCAAAATTCAATGCTGTTTTCAGCAAAACAGAGGCAAAGTTAAAAATAGGTTAATTAGAGCATGAAAAATACAGCCTAAATGTACTTTCCTACCCTTGAGCATGTGACTAAACAAGAGTGTGCCAATGCTAACATGCCTTGGAAATAGCTAAGTCAGAGGTGGAGGTTAATGTTGTTAATCAAGGAAATGGGCTAACATCTTTTAAAATAACTACATTAATTAAATTATTCATTGTGCAACTTGGTCCTAAGTACATGTTAGTACCTGGGAAAATCTATTCTTTCAATACATGTTTTCTGCAAGTGATCCAATTCACTTTCTTAAAAACATATAATACTGTACTGTAGTAGTGGGACAATAAGAATGTAGAAGTTCTCATAGTGATATACAGATATAACATTGAAATATTGCATAGTCATAAATGCTTAAGTAATAAAAGTAGCAATAAAAGATACTTGATAACTATCTTACTTGGAGAATGTTTTATATTAGAGTCTTTAGTGTATTTAGAAGTTTCTTAGTTGAAATGTAATGACTTTCCAAAGTACAAGTATTTGTTAAATATATTACAATAATGAAATTTCATACTATAACTTAATTAAAAGGTACAAAAATTTGTTCATCAAAGTCAGGATTAATGTAACAAATATATTCATGTTGCATGTTTAGTACATAGTTTTGTACTAATCTACAGAAACCTTTATAAAATTTTTTCAATGCTTTATAAGCATATTCTAATAATTATTCATTATGCTAAGAAGCAGTTATGATAAGCATGGCTGTGGCACTATACTAACTGGAACTACTGGTGAGAAATATTTAAAAGATCTTGATATGAAATTAAGTCTTATTTATATTTTCATAACACTTGAGCTAAACAGTAAGTTCTACAACATGAATGAAATTCGTTTTATCAATATTTAATTATAAAATGTTAATGTTTCATATTATTACAATGCCCCTCTATTTTATGATCAATTTCTTCTCTGTTAGCTACTCATATATATAAAACAGTGGCAAAAGTATACTATGTTATACATCCATTACAAAAGTTATAAGGGGATGTTTTAATTACCTTGACAGAAAACTGAAACAATTACAGTTTGAAATGAGAATAGGACCTTTATTTTCATAACTACTAAAAACTAATCATATCAAATATCATAAGGCAATTAAGAAGACGGCCCAGTTGATCAAGGATAGGGAATTAGAGTCATGTTTCTCATTATATTTACCAACTTTTTAAAAAGCAGTTGTACAAAATTTAATGGCAGAGAGATTTTCTCTACATTTGAAAATAAGATCAATAGAAATAAGAGGAATAGGGCTAGGCAGTGGTGGCACACGCCTTTGATCCCAGCACTTGGGAGGCAGAGGCAGGCAGATCTCTGTGAGTTTGAGACCAGGCTGGTCTACAAGATACAAGAGCTAGTTCCAGGACAGCCTCCAAAGTCACAGAGAAACCCTGTCTCGAAAAACAAAACAAAACAAAAACAAGAGGAATAAAACTGATGTATTTTCCTCTCACTGATTCTATGAAGTTTCTCAAAGAAAACTCCAGTGATATCAGGTGAGGATGCCTGTTTATCTCATTTCTATTTCTGTATATTTTTCAAATTTGTCAAATAAAATAAAGACTAAAGTCTGTCATGAAAAATTTGTTTATATGTCTAAATAAAAAATGTAAGCATCTATATGGTCTTTGTGGAAGTTCAAATAGGAAATGTATAGGAAAGATTATTAGCTTATCTCCATATTTTGCCTGGAAGTTTTTATCGTTTGAATGTATATACAGGAGGTAAGAGGCAATACTGTAAAAACAAACAAACAAACAAACAAAAAAACCACCAAAACACAAAGCATTCTTGATGTAGCCTACTCAAGGTGGAACTTTAAGAAATCCATCTGATGCAAAGCATGATACCTTTGCTTACAAATCTAATTTTCTAAGCCCAAACATGGTTTGCTAAGACATTTTCTTCCCATCTTTGTACTGGTGCATTAGCCATATTACTTTTTACAAACTTGGACAATATAAAATGAATACAATTTTTATAACTATTCAATTGTCAAATTTATGTCAATTTAACAAAAATCTGTCTTTGCATTCTTTCTCAATATTGCAATTTATAAAGATTATGTTTCTTTTGAAAATAGAAATTCTTTTGAAAGTAAATGTGTTCAAAGGAGTTCCTCACATGGCCCATCATTACCATGACACACCATTACAAAATTTACTTGATTTTGTAGTATTTTTAACTGAAAAATACATAATATCCCATGCTAACTCTAGGATAAATAGTAAACAATGTATTTCAGCAAAGAGTATATCAAGCACATCTTTCATTAATAAATTATCTAACATTTACTCCAGAACAAGACATACCTTTTGAATATACAAAGGAATAATGGAATTGTTACGTGGCACAATTACATGATAGCCAGTATCAATTATGATATTCTTTTTTTCTTTGAATTAGAAACAAGATTGTTTTACATGTCGAATTATGATATTCTTGGTAATTTTCTTGAATACATTTTATAAAGAATGTGTTTATTAAAAGCTGGGCATGGTAACACACACCTTTAATCCCAGCACTCCACTTGAGAGTTAGAAAAGGTGGACCTTTCGTGTTTGAGGACAGCCTGGTATACAAAGTAAGTTCCAACACAGGGCTACACAGGGAAACTGTCTAAAAAAATCGTGTTTGTAAATTTTTGTTTCCCATCTCAACATATTTTTGTTTGAAATACAGGCTACAGAATACCTTAAGGGGAAGAGTTTAAAATATGCTTTAATTATATACTTTGCTAATACCATCAGTGTTGAATACTGTTTGTGTGGATCAAGACCCAACAGAGCAAACCAATTTGTTTAAATATATATATATATTTATATATATGCATGATTTTTCCTGAAGGAGTCTAGTGAGACAATCGTACTGTGGAAAATACCTGTTCCAAGGATGAGAGAATTTGTAAATCAAATGGGAAGTGACTTCAGACATTAAAGGGTGATATATGAGTCTGTATCAATATTGTCAACTAGTTCAGATTTTTAAATGAAACAAAATTCTCTTTGTAGTAGTTACTTGAAAAATGAACAAATATAAAGGCATAATAATTGGAACAGGCAGGCACCCAGGATCAGAGTTTTCTGCAACCTCTCTTAATAGGTTTCATGTTTACAAGGTCTTGCTTTTAGAAGGGTAGAGTTGATCTGCACAAAGTTGAGAAAAAGGAAGATTCTTTAATGATATTCTAGAGTTATTATATAGCACTATACATGCATTCTTTTCTGTGTGGAGATTTATTAAGTCAAAAATTAAAGAAAAAACTTAATTTTATAGAGGTTCCAGGGTTGGCCAGCTATGATTCGTTTGTTCCTCTGCCTTCATAAATGAGCAATTCTATCATCTACCAAAAATTCTTTAAACAGTATCTGGGATTCCCTTCAAATTAAACCACCCGGGAAGGAGGTATCAAATAACCAATTATTGGTAAGTGGATGAAGAGGAAGAACGTAAATGAAACAGGCTTTGTAACATTAATCACTGAAGAATTGGAATGTATACACAGTTGTTCATCTTATTCTTGAATTTTTATGTATATGAATAATATTGAAGAGCAGTGCAAGGTTGCTATTGGTGGTTGTCCTGTTTGAGACATGAGTTGAATTTGAGGAATCTTACCTGGGAAATAATTCCTGATACATTGTGTCATGCCATAGATCATTTAAAAGTGGGAGTTGAACAAATCCATCGGCATATGATGGCTATGAACCTATTCTGTAAAAAGGATTTTTAATAATTCCCATACAGGCACACATGGCAGTCCTGTGTCAGGGAATCCTGTTCTTTTAAGGACTAGCTTTAATTTGTTAACATGAGCTGAATTTTTATTCTTTCTGGAGTGAAGATTTTCAGGGACAATTGATAAGAAATAGATCTATTTTGGTTTAATTCCACTGTAACCATGAACAATCTCTTTATATGGTACCTTGC